TCTCTACAGCATCAACAGACTCGTTTACAATAGTGCTTTTTGTTTGCTGACTTTGGTTTACACTTTCAGGGCTGAGAATATAGATTAATGGTAGGATGCTTGCCTAGCATGCATGAGACCCTAGGTTCAATCTCCAGCAACACACACACACACACACACACACACACACACACACACACACACACACAGACTGACTACACATGCAATCCTGGAGTATGATCTCATTGTAAAACATATGCAGATAGTTTTCTTGCCCAGATGGTGAAAGTATCACAGCAGTGACAGTGAGCTCAGGCAGGGTCACCCTGATGTGCATTGCCATCTCAAAGAGCTACTTTCTAGTGGGAGCATCTATCCTGGGTATAGGGGCCACGAGAAACACTGGGCACCAATCCCCAAAATCTTGATCCTTATTTGTCAACAAAAGCAAGCATGCATTTTCCACAGAGCCAGCAGTGATAGGACCAGGATCAAGGGACCCAGATGCCAGTGCTAGAACTTTATCTATCTATCTATCTATCTATCTATCTATCTATCTATCTATCTATCTATCTATCTATCTATCTATCTATCTACCTATCTTTTGGGTTTTTCAAGACAGGGTTTCCTTTTTGTTTTGTTTTTCAAAACAGGGTTTCTCTGTGTAGCCCTGGCCACCCTGGAAATCGCTCTGTAGACCAGACTGGCCTGTGCCATCACTACCCAGCAGACCTTTTTAAGAATTAATTTTTATTTATTTATTTTGTGTGTACCGAGCACATGTGTGGAAGTGAGAAGACAGTTTGTCAGCTTGAGGAAGCTGTTTCTCTCCTCCTACCAGGTGGGTCCCAGGGGTCGAACTCAGGTTGTCAGAGTCGGAGGTAGGAAGAATAGTCATTAGTAGGTCCTGCCAAGCTATCACCCCGGCCTAATACTTGACTTTTTAATACTGTGCTTTAAAAAAGAAAAAGTCAGTTGCAGCTATGTATGGTGGTGAACGCCCATAATCCCAGCATTTGAGAGGCTGAGGCTGGAGGATAGAGAGCTTGGGGCCAGTTTTCTGTAGTGAGACCGCCACCTTAGAAACAAGTCAGTTGCATTAAGCCACCTGTGGCTGGTGAGGTGTGGAGTAATTCCTGAGTTTGGGAATGGTCATTTTTGTCATCTACCCTCCCCCCAACACCACACCCTCACCTGTAAAGTACTGTCTTCCTTGTTTGTTGTTTGGTTTTGTTTTTAGTGGTGTTGGGGATGGAACCTGGGACCTCATGTGTTTCAGGCAACCAGTGTACCGGTTAGCCACCGCTCCAACCCTTTAACTACGGTTTTAGTTGGTGCTCCTGAGTCTAGCCAGATGACTTCTGTGGATAATCCACCCCCTGAGTGGGACAGGCCCTGGTGGTGGTGGTGTAGGTAGTGGTGGAGTCGTCCCTCATTCACGACAGACATAGCCAGAGAACCATGTCTCCACAGGTAGAGACATGCTCAGAAGGACAGGCAGCCTCCGCTTCTCCAGACAGACAGATGAGCCATTCCCAGCTGCTGGAATATAAGCGGGGACAGTGATGTGCCTTTTAAAATACAGGGATTGGAATTCAGGAACTATTTTGGGTGTCAGCACATCTGCCGGGGAGTCATTCATAAGAGGGGAAAAGATGAGTGCAAGCCAGTTCTGTAGTAGTAAACTCACATAGTGCATTGCTCTGTACTGTTGCAAACGTGTACATTTTACACTCCCTTGACATAATCTCCCATTAAAACTTGAGTGACATATTTACTGCTGCTTGGAGTGTAACTTACAAGAACATTTTGGGGCAATTTCTAATTTTTTTTTGTTTCACTGCTGAGGCTTGGACCCCCGGGCTGAGCACTCTGCCACACTGACCTGTTTCCCAGGCCCCCAGACTTTAAATCTGGTCCAGCAATTACATTGAAAACAAACAAAACTCTCTCCTCCTGAGATCTTGCACGAGTATGCAGAGTTACAGAGATAAAGATGCTAGCGTCAGCACTGTTTGTACTGGGACGTACTGGAAGGCATCCAAGTACGGTCTCCTGGGGGCAGATGTGTAGGGTACACCTACACAGTCCGTATCCCACGCGCTGGGAAGGATGCAGTCTGCACACACAAGCCAGGAGGGAGGCCTGGGAAGGATGCAGTCTGCACACACAAGCCGGGAGGGAGACCGTCTAAGAGTGAGTGTTAAGTGCGGAAAGCAGGATTCCGAACAGAGGCGGAATCCTTGATGCACACCTTTAACAAAGGCAGAGAGGAAACCTGCTGAATGTCTTCAGCAAGCGTCAGCCCACGAAAGGCTGTTGGGAGGACTCCGCTTTCTCATTCAGAATTCTGTAGTGCTTGTAGTTTTCATGTGAAGCAGACGGTCCTTTTGGAGTGGGGGGGGGGGTGGTTAGGACCACTAAATAAAGCATGAAGTCCCAGGGATCTGCTCCCCCAAAAGGATGTAATGTGTTTTCTGTGTGATTCCGAGCATGTTTTTAAAAAGGCATCGAATAGAACTCACTGAAGGCATGCGTGGACAGTGGCTGATGCGGCCTTTTCTGTATTTGCCAAGTAATTTCATTAATCTTAAATTAGCTTCTAGACCAGAAAGGGAAAATATATATATATATATATATATATATATATATGGGCTTTGCAGAGGTCGGAAAGCCTCTTTCAAGAGAGCTCTGGCCGTGTGTGTGTGTGTGTGTGTGTGTGTGTGTGCTGTGAAGTCTCAGCTCCTTTCCCTGATGACTTCTATTTTTAACAGGATCCCAGTGAGGGGTCCATGCTCGGAGGGTGGGCACTGTGCAGCTAGCTCTGCTGAGGCCTGGGAAGCTGGACTTCTTCCAAGGACGGCTGGAGCACTGGGGATACCGATGGTGGCAAAGGCCATCTGAAATTGCTGTCCCTTGACTGCCCCTTCCCTGTTTCAGAGCTCCTTCTGGCCCTTATCACCCAGATGATGCCCAGACCCCAACTATTATCTACCCCATAGGGGTAGCTCCATGGGGCCTGGAAGGGAGTTTGGGTCTTGGTGATCCTAGAGCAAAGATTTAAGTTCCTTTGGGGCAAAGATTTGAGTTTCTTAGGAAGAGAGCAAAAGGGTAGTGAAGATTCAGTGCACTGTGGACTGAGGATATTGGTTTGAAAAGGGAGGGGAGATTCTGCTTTGATATCCCCAAAGCAATAAAACGACTGAGGAAAGTTCAAATGGGAAGCTGCTAAGTCAGTCTGTTTTCTGTTGCTGTAACAAAACAACTATGATGGTTTATAAAGAATAGCTGCTGGATGGGTGTCTTGGCACACACCTCTAATCCCAGCACTCGGGAGGCACAGGCAGGAGGATCTTTGTGAGTCTGAGGCCAGCTGGGTCTACAGAGTGAATTCTAGAACAGCCAGGACTATACTATGAAACCCTGACTCAAAAAGGAAAAAAGGGGGGAGGGGACAATTAATTAATTGAAAAATTCTTTTTAAATAGAAGTTTAAGATTGGCTCCTGGGACATCCAAGAGCCTATCTGGCATCTTCTGGCATCTGGCAAGAGCCTTACCCTGCTGAGTCATAACATGGTAGAGGGAGTCACATGATGAGATACAGTGACTATATTAACCCTGGTCTGTTCCTCTTCTCATAAAGCCACTGATGCCTTCATGGGGCTGGCAGGGGGCTCTATCTCCCTGGCCTCCTCTACCCCTGGTCTGCTCTCAAGGATCCCGTCTCTAAATACCATCTGCATGGGAGTTCGGGGATTGAGTTTCCAACACATGAGGCTTGAGGGACATACTCAGACTGTAGCACATACTATACAGCCATTTAACAGCCTTTCTTCCTTCTCCTCCTCTTCATCCTCCTCCTCTTCATCCTCCTCCTCATTCTTCCATGTTTTGAGCCAGCTCTATGTAGCCCTGTCCACTCTGGCACTTTCTATGTAACCCAGGCTGACCTCAAACTCACGGCAATCCACCTGCCTCAGCTTCCCGGGGCTGGGACTACAGGTGTGCACCACTGTGCCTAGCTTCTTAGCCTTCCTCACGAAGATACTAAGAACTTGTTTAAGCAGTCCTTGCCATAGCGCTTAGATTGGGTTCATTTTCCCAGATGACAGGATGCATCTCGAATTAGTGGGAGAGTGAGTTTAGTCATCTTTCTGTGAGGTTGATTCCTGGATGCAGGAGCTGCTGGGGGAGTTAAGGAATGGGGGTTTTGTTGTTGGCTCCCCTCCCCCCATGATAGCTTTCTAGCAGGTGCCTTTTATACAAAGTATTTATAGCGGTGCCATGTCAGGAAATCAGACCTGGAAATCAGGAATTCAAACACTTGTTTGAATGGGAGAAAGGAGCATTTTCTGGGGGGCAAACCTAGGGCCTTGTGTATACTAGGCAAGCACTCTATCACTGAGCTATATAATATAATAGTTTTTTATTTTCTTGAGACAGTCTCGCTTTGCAGCTCTGACTATCCTAGAACTATGATGACCAGGCTGGCCCCAAACTCACAGAAGTTTGCCTGCCCAGCAATCTTATTTTATTAAAAAAAAAAAAAAAAAAAAGACAAAAGAAAACTTGGTGTGTGTGCGCATGCGTGTGCACATGTACATGCACACAGGCTTTGATACCTGAGAAGGCTGGAAGAGGATAACAGATCCCGTGAGCTGGAGTTATATTCAGCTGTGAGCTGTGTAACATGGCTGCTCATCAAACCAAACTCAGGTCCTCTGCAAGTACAGTGCATGCTCTTAACTGCTGAGCCATCTCTCCAGCCCTCAGCAAGTCTTATTTTCACTTTCAGCTTTTTGACAGCAAGTGAAGAATTGTATAATTAGCATGTCGGAGACTTCTATCTGTAGGCTGAGCCCATGAGAACACACTGGGTCCCTCCGGGACTGTTGTTGGGAGGACAGCGGATGGGAATCCTTTCTTTGGGATGCTGTGGTCCTCCCCGGGGGATCTAACTGGGGAGGAGGCGGCTGGCTGCCCCTGGCCTGGGCCTAACACTCCCTTTGCTCTCTGCAGGAAGCCTGGAAGCACGCGATTGAGAAGGCCAAGCACATGCCTGACCCCTGGGCCGAGTTCCATCTGGAAGACATCGCCACAGAACATGCTACTCGGCACAGGTCAGCAGTGTGTCCCAGGGGCTTTGAGCGGTCCTTGTGGGGTGGGGGTGGAGCATCGTGGGTCCTGCTTCTGGTTAAAGAAAAAGAACTGATACAATGCCCCAGTTTCAGATTTTCTACAGCCGGTGGGGTTGTCAGAGAGGCCCAACCAGTTAAGTCTGTATTAGCATTCCTAGTTGGAAACAATCTGCAGCATGGAAACTTTTCGTCCTAGATGTTTTGGATAAGGAAGGGGGAGCATTTTGTGCAGCAAAGGTGCCTTGATCCTCCATTTGAAGGTGGTTGAGAGTTGAGCAGCTGGTCAGGGCAGCCCAGGGACCCAGGTTCCTTCTGACGTGCGACACCATCCTCCCAATGCTTGTCCTTGCAAATACCAGGAAAGGTGGACAGCATCAAGACAGCTCGGCAGGTTTTAATGCATGGTCACTGGCAGTGACATTTTTCTTTGGCTAGCACACTCTGTCCTCTTCCATCATTTCTGCTCCTGTCCTTCACGGAGATGGCTG